ATATTGCTTGAGTGTCGCTTAGCCTTATTTGACCTCAGATCATGGCTCACACGGTCACCCTCCTGAATCAGTCTCTACCTTTCGGGCTGAGTACCAGTGCGGACTGAAATAAAGTCAGTGGGGGCATTTCATTAAACACATTGTGGACAGTTGAACCAGATAGTAAGGCGATTGGCCATGGATTACAGGGGAGAGTTTGTTAAAATCAGATCGAGCTTCGACAAAAAGAAACGCAAATGGATATCGAATAGTGCATAATCTCAAATCCGAGATGTAGTCTTATTTGATTCCATTAAAAAACTAGTAAATATAATGTTAGCCAAAATAATTATCAAATGGGGATGTAGCTTAGATGGTAGAGCGCTCGCTTAGCATGCGAGAGGTATGGCCGTATGGGGATCAATACCCCACATCTCCACTTTTTTCCTTTTCCAATTCGTTGGCTCAATCTCTTTACTAGTGAGGATTGCGTGAGTGTGAAACCACAAATTATTTTGTTACGATATTATGAGTGTTTTATACAATTGGATAAGAGTTATAAAATGAGTAATTTGTTTGTGAGTGAATATGGATGAACAACGGTAATTTACGGTTCACTCTCTTTTTCTTAAAATCATCTTGCCAAATTCAAAATCTCAAGTCAAAAGCTATTTTGAAAGATTTTGAAAGAAAAATCCTCCTAATATCTTTACTTTCCCTTCCTTATCCATTTCGTATTATTTTCTTGCCAAAAATATGGTCATTCATAATAAGTTCAAAGTTTAATTTGCTTCCTCGACATGAAATTGAGATATTCATTTGAGATATTGTGACTTGAATTCAAGACTTAGAACACTAATCTTAGAGGGACTTCTTTTATGAAATTAGCTTTAATGCCCACCATATGGTTGGCTGGCGTATATTTTTGCGATTTTAAATTTTGAAAGTTAGATAAAGATATCATTTTACTTTGACCTGACCTACAATTGTTTCTTACTTTGACGGTTACCTATTTTCTTTTTGTTGATAATTGTAGTGAACTCTTTTATTTTTTATTTGGTTTATTATTGTTGAAGTGATATTGATGGTGATAAATTGGGTATAAGGGGAGATATATATAATATGTTGAAATTTATAATTAATTTGCTATAATCACTATCTTATTGTATATTAAAGTGCAATAGTAGTTTGTCTTGAGACTCATTTGTGTAGCTACTAAATTGAATTACTTATTTATAACATCAAACTTGTCCACTGTTATCTCCAAATAGCTGGAGTTGATTTTGCTAGCCCCACGTTGGTTCAATTTATATGCAATCGTCCTTAGGTCATTATCACAACAGTGTATATTGGCACTCTGGTGTCATCCATCATAAATAGGTGCACAAGATACGCTATCACCTTGAAGTGGCTTGAAATTCTCCATTTTTCCGTGCTCAATACTCGATGTGAATATCGATAATCTCTCTCCTTATCATATATGGGTTGCCTTAGTTAACAATTCTTATGACGTGATTGGTGATCCGTAATTTGTACTTGACACGCACTCCGGTTGAGTTTTAAATTTCTAAAGTCGAGGCATACCTAATTTAACCCTAACAACGACAAGTATACAGATGCTAGATTTATAGTAAAGTGGCTCGATCGTATTCCAAGGAAACGTTAGGCTTATTATTACTTCATTCCGAACTACTATCTAATCAAATAGGAAGGTCGAAGGTAGAACTAACCTAACCTAACTAAACAACCAACCAAGTGGTTGGGAGACCGTTAGAGATGTGATGGTTGTCTAGGGTCGACTTCCTCTAGATATAGGTTGATACAAGCGATAATCTATAGGTACTCTGAGGTGCAGAGGTCACAAATATAGGGATAGATTCAATGTCATGCAATCGGTCCCCATCCTAGCTAGGTGAACCAAACCAATGTCACCTCAACCAGTCCACCTAACTAGGAATTTGGTTCTACCTCCTATAAACGGATTATATCTGTCCGCACACAAGTCAAGTGAGTCTATAATCACGCACTCACTGACAAGCATCAACTAGGTGAGAATCTAACTACAAGGGGATGGTTACCTCGACCTTTAGCTAGATCTCTAAATCAACCAATCAAGGTAAGAAATATTCACTGACATCTAAACCCTAATTAGAAGCATTAAGCACTCTCAAGAAATGGAACTCTCACCTAGGTTAAGAACAAACCAATCATAATCAAGCAAGAGATTCTTATGCACAAACATCAATAGACATAGATACATGGGCTCATAATCATGCTTACATTACATATGACCCATACTCAAACTATAAGCTAGGATTCATCTTCCCTAAACAACCATAGGGATTCAAGTCAAAGTCAAAGAGAGAGAAAGGAAATACAAACTAAGAAGAGGGAAAATGCTTGGAATCATCTTCTTCTTCTTGGATTGCCTTCCTCCTTAATACTTGGATGTATTTGACATTTTTCAAGCTCTCTCAAGATGTTTCTCTCTCTAAAACTACCCAATAACTCTGTATTAAGGCTGGAAAAATAGACTCAACCGTTTGCAAAATCATGGACCAAACCGCACCGCACAGTTTAGTCCGGATAGTAGACTGTTAAGAATGGTCTAGTCTGGTCCAGGGTTTGTGTTGGATAATATTTTGATCTTTTAGTCTGGTCTAGTCTAGATCGTGGTTTACCGGACCAAACCGTGGACTCAGTCGACTTACCAATACGTGTTATCACGCCACTCGTCCCCACTTTCATTCACAACCAAATTTAACCAGAGAATAGAGCCGATAATGTAATATGACATTATGTTAATGTTTATAACATTATGGTGCAAGTTGGGTGCTCTGAATTTTTGTTTTGTTTTTTACTGAGATTTATGGTGTCAAAAATTTTCATGCATGTTGGAGTTTATGTTTTAAGGAAAAAAATAATTGTTTCTCGGTAATTGATTCGATTTTTGTGTGGTTGACTAAAGAAATTGTTCATTTTTCATTCATTGTGGTCTATTTGGACCAGACCGCGTCGTTTTCCAGCCATGCTCTATATTCTCACTCTAGGTCGGCTCTCCTTTGTAAATATAAAAAATGAGGTATTTACACAGTTTCTAGTGCAAATCATGGCCTCAAGGGCGTGACCAGGATGTAACAAGCCAAAATGGTGTCGAATTGTATAAAAAATTGTCTTGTCATCTTCTTCAAATGCGGAGATGGCGGCCTCCATCATGAGATCACGAATGCGATCTTTTTCGCGGTCAAAAAGCCCTTTGACCTCGAGTCGGGTGTCGAGACTTTATGCCCTCTTGTTGGCTGCTTACTAAAGTTCATGGCTACTATTCATGACCGCGAACATGGTCACGTTCTGGTTAAGGTTGTGACGTGTGTTTTTCCCCCCTCTTGCTCCTATGCAATGCAAACGTGCCATGATGAACTCTAAATCGATTCCCGGTCGATTGTAAATGAATGTAAGACCTGGAATTTCACACAAACACCAAGAAAGCATAAAATACAACAAAGTGGGGTCGATTTCCCCATGAAAACCTTCATGTCAAGCTAATCCATGCCACATTGGATGTTTTATAAATAGGAATAAAAAAACCCTAAAATAGCTTGATATGTGGCTTAGACACGAGATTTAGCACGCAAACTCCTCGATAATGAGGGCTAAATAACACCTATTTTAGGTGTTATCATCTGCCCCACACTTAAGCATTTGGTTGTCCCCAAGTAAACCTACTCAAATCGATACAACTTGATAGACAATCACAATGGTATGCACTATAGTTCATCGATTTCACTTTTAAAGATAATCGGAGTCGAGAAAGTATTACTTCCATCTCTTCGTGACAATACAAACTGTCAAATGAGGACCTTGTCAACTAAAGAGGTTTAGACATTTAACTTACGCACCGCAGGACTCTAAAGAAAACATGTGAAAATCAATGAACTTCATGGTGGTGCTCCTACTTATTCAAAAGATGACTCAATTTTTTTAGCTTCAAATTAACTTTGCCGAACGTGACACCACACTTTGCATTTTTAAAAATAAGGCTTCTCACCCTCATGGCTAAGAGCAAAAGTACATTGGCTTTTCTTTCTAAGCCTCGTGTGGGGAAAGTAATGGTTCAGAGGATGGAATAGTGTAAAAGGTGAAGGTTTGGACGTTAGTCCACCCTCTCAAGCACCAATTCCCAACATGTACTCTTGTATCATCTTGTTTTGGTATTTGCTTAGTTCTTGTTTCTTGGGCTCAATCCAGGAGATAAGGAGCCACAAGTGAAGGAGATGCATCTTGTTCTCAAGCATCTACCGCAGCTGATTGTATATCAACCATAATGTTAATAGAGCAGTCATATAAGCTTAACTCGCCTCTCATCTTATCATCTGATTCATAATTTTCACCGATTTGTTTTTTATGTGAATACCTAAAGGTTCGATTTGGTCTCCTATCAATTGGAACCTTTGCTTGGCCTTCGGTCTCCTGAATGAGATTATTTGATGATCTGATAAGACCACCACCTTCCGATCCATCTTCGGCGCCTCCGTTAGCACTAATACTTCCACAACTCCCTCCACCGTCCTCACTGAATCTTCCAGTTACAGCTGCAGCTTGGATCGCTACTCCACTTTCGAGAGCTCCAATTCATTCGCTTCAATCCCCCCTCCAACCAATCCTGCGGACCCAACTCGTCATTTTTTCAGTGTCGTCTTCCGTTGTTATTTGTTTTTAATTATTTTAATTATATTTTTTAATTGACACATTGGTAATTTAACGGTCAACCGCCATCTAAGATGAACTTAACAGAGTTGGATGATGATTGATCATTGACGAAACGAGACGTAAAATTAGTAATCAATAAAAAAAGAAGAAAAATTTGGTGGCAAACGTGAAAGTTTTTAATAAATTGAGTGACCACAGGTATAATTTACCCAACAATTATGCAGAATAAATAAATAAAGCATCATCCATAAAACTACCCAATCGATCTTTCTCTTTCCCAAAGAACTGCTCAAGAAATTATCAATTGGGAAGTAAAAACCTCGCCGGAGAGAACATGCGTAACGGGAATGGATTCCGGCTAGTAGAGGAAGGAGTCATTGAAGAGACTGCGGGAGGGAGACGAAGCGTTCGAGAACTCGAGGTCTGCAGTGATCGCCGGAACATGATTTGCGGAAAAGAAGAAGCGGTGGTTCCCTCGGCATCGACGCTCTCGTCACATAGATCTGAAATCCAACATCGAGTCATCGACGGATCTATTCGACTCCAAATCTCCGTTGGGGGAGAGAAGAAGACAATGCATATATTGAGATGGATAGTTGGGAATTAAGGAAGAACTTTTCCCCGACGAATTTCGGTTGTTAGAATGTGTCTATTGTTTATTTTCCGGATGCAGAAAAAGAAAACGGCGGCGGAGGAAATACAGGAGGAGCTGGTAAGAGGAGAAAGGACTGCAATGTACCCCTGTATTTTGGGTGGCCCAAGAACTCGAAATGGTATTCCTCCGACTTCCCTTTTCCCCAATGCGACTGAACTATTATGTATAAGGCTCTTGAGAAGTCTTGAACGATAGGCAGTTGGATCGCATGCCGTGATGTTTGATAGTTTATTCTTTGATGAATTATGTCTGCCTTCCTGGCTATGATGATTATGACGCCATTTGGCAGAAGTACTTGTTGCTACTGCTTGGTCCATCATTCTATTGAATTCCATGATGCATAATGACTGACTGCACTAACTTGGTTGAGTAGTAGGAACTTATGTGACCTCAATCATTCATGGATCTTTTTGTACTTGGGAGTCAATGGGTTCTCTGGTGTCAGGCACCAGAATGGTAGCATTGTATTAACTTAGTGTGTAATCAGTTGTGCGTTAGTACTTTACTGGCAGACGAGGTTGTAAGCCACTGATTGTTTGTGAACATTCTTGTAGGTGTTTCAGTTTAAGCATATTTGCTGGTTGGGTTCTCAATCTTCCATTTACTCTTTCTACACAATATTAGCTCGCCTTGTTGGTTATCGAGAACCGACTGGAGGGTGCTTGCATCTAGGGATGGCAACAAAACCCGAACCCACGGGTACCCACCCGACCCAACCCGGTCAACGCGGGTAAAATCCGTGTTGACGGGTTTTGGGCCGGGTTTGGGTTTAAACCCGTTCACTATTCAACGGGTTGGGTTGGGTTTGGGTTTAGGTAAACCCGGCCCGTGGGTACCCGCCCACCCATATAATTAATTTTTTCGGTATATTTAATATTCTAAACAACTAATCTTATTTATGTTTGTGGAGACATGTCTAATTTTTTCTTTTTAATTGTGTAGAATGAAGTTGATGTTAGGAGTGGAGAGTAAAGAAACTTAATTGAAATGAAGAAGTTTTCAATAAAACATGTTATTTATGGAAAATTTGTGATTTGCTTCAATTTTTTTTAGTTTTCTAGATTGGTGTTGAACAATTTGTATAGTTAATTTGTGATTTGCTTGAATTTTCTAGAATGGTGTTTTATATATGGATAATTTGTATTGAAAGATTGATATTTGACTTTAATTTTGATAAGAACTTGTAATTGTAAATTTTTTACGACAAAACCCGTGGGTACCCATGAACCCGCGGATACCCAACGGGTTGGGTTGGGTTTGAGTTTTTCAAACCCAATGGGTTTTACCCCGGGTTTTTTTCAAAAATAAACCCATGGGTTTGGGTTTGGGTTCGACAAAACCCGACCCAACCCGACCCATTGCCATCTCTACTTGCATCTCTTTGTAGGATGTGTGTTCTGGGTCCGATTGCTTTCATATCAAGTTCAATTTCATTTCTCAATGACTATACTCCAATCTCTCTGGACTTTGTTTTAATGTGCTACCTTAGTGCAACTCCTAAGGTCTTCTAGTTTTCCTTGTGCACTGTACTGTGGATAAGTAGTCTAGCCAGAGTGGGTATGGCTTTAGTGTCATCAAGTGTTTTGTCTTGGTTGAAGTTATGTTAACAACAAGATCAATGCTTTCTGTTAATTGCCTACAGTCAAGTTTGTTCTATTGTTCCCTAAAGTATTCAGATGATCTTAGTCCCATCCAAGTGATCCATCCATTCTCTCTATGTCGAGCGTGCATTTGAGACAATGGATTTTACGCTTCTTATAAACTAATCTCCACAGCTTGCGTTGGAGTATGAGAGGAATGCGATGGTTGTCGCCAACCACTGACGATGATGAGTATGAATTTGCAAGAGATATACTTGGTAACCAACCCATGATCCCCATGCCAGCATTATAAATTTCTCCAGAATCAAGAATTCCTTCACCAGACTGCTTTGGAATTTCATTTACTTCGCAGATGTGTATCCCATAGACCATGTTGGATTATCTTGGTACTAGCTTGTATTCCTGATTGAAGTATAAAGCCTGATGATCTTATATGTGGAGTGCAGGCAGGTTCGAGGTCCCTGAAGGGTTGATCCCAATTCAGATCCTTAACAATGGCAGCATGTGAACAGTGGTAGAGTGCAGGTTCAGAAGTGAAGTAGGGTTTAGCTTGCCGCCGATCGACGGCGAAAAAGGGTTGGTTTTTTTGCTGGAAAGAAGGCTTGCGAGGTAATGGCAAAGAATGGATGGTAGATATAGTTTTCTGTAATTAGCTAAATGCGCCAAGACTAATACAGAAGGTGAATGTGATTGTTTTCTCTCCGCAGGTTCAGCTGTTTAACACGCAGAGTGGGTGACAGACCCACGTGATTGATTGACCCACCACCACCTCCACCGCCAGCAGCAGCCGCGGCCCGACCACCGGCACCATCTCCTCCTTTTGCTTTTTTCTAAGTTGGCTTCGCATCAACGCTAACAGCCAAAAGAAGCCAACCGCAGCAGTACACATACATACAGGCATATGAGAATGAGACCAAACCACCACCATTGATCTCAAGGGCAAAAAGTTGCAAAGAGTTAACTATCATTAACCCATTTGACAAAAGCATACATACCGCTTTCCTTTATCCCCCCCTGTCGTGGTTTGCTCCACTAGCCATCCCCATTTTCTAGCAAGCTACTCCTCTCCTACCTAGCCTTCCATCTACATGCTAGTGCTTCTCTCTCTCTCTCTTAATTTGATTCCAATGGTGATGACTCAGACTCACCCAAAGCCCAAAATCTTCTTCCCTCTATCTTTCCCTTCATTCGGTTGGCCACTACCATTTCCTTTTTATGCCTTTCTCCACTCTACCACCCAATATGCTGCTAGTGGTTCTATTCTCTCCCCTCCCCTGCCCTCTCGCCTTTTCCTCCTTCAAACTTGGCCTCCTGATGGGTTGCAAAACTGTTAGGAGCTAAAACAGAGCTCAAAACACAAGCAGGCCAAGTTAAAGCGCCATGGATGAGACTGGAGAGAGGCGATCCATGGACAAAGAGCAGGAAGAATCGCCGAGAAGGCCGCACCCTGCCGCCGGCGGCGGAGGAGGAGACAGGATGAAAAGAGACGAGTGGAGCGAAGGTGCGGTGTCGAGCTTGCTGGAGGCGTACGAGAGCAAGTGGGTGCTCCGCAACCGAGCCAAGCTGAAGGGCCAGGACTGGGAAGACGTGGCCAGGTTCGTGTCCTCCCGAGCCAACTCCACCAAGTCCCCCAAGACCCAGACCCAATGCAAGAACAAGATCGAGTCCATGAAGAAGCGCTACCGATCCGAATCCTCCGCCGCGGCAACCGACGCCTCTTCCTCCTCCTCCTGGCCGCTCTACCACCGCCTCCATCACCTGTTGCGCGGCGCCGGTGCTTCTGGTGCGGCTGCTCCACCACCTGCGATGCTGCCGTCGCCACGACAGCAGCGCCATCCTCCTCCACTGCTGCTGATGGGGCCGTCGCCTGCACTGTTACCGGCCGTACAAGTAGTACAACCGCAACCGGCGCCTCCTCCTCCGCCACCACCACAGCCATCACTTGCGATTCCTTCGCTGCAGATGGTTCCTCCTCCACCGGCGACGATCGGGGCCGCGGCTCAGAACTCGCACGGGCCCACTGGTGTGGACGGAGTAGGTGGAAAGGTCAGTTAAATTCTCTTTTTACCTCACGGAATTTACTGGAGCCAAGGTTGAAGAATCCGAACTTGGACATTTTATTATAAAGGCAGCAGCCACTTGATTAATGCAAGCACTACCGTAAAAGAGCAAGAGAATAAATTTTCCACTAGTCCCTAAACAGTCTAAAGCTTGTATGGTTTTTGATTTCATAGTCGCTCCTCATTTGGTTACTAATCACAGGAGGAAGATCGTCATGGAGCGCCGGACCGCGGCAAATACTCGGCGGGTCATGCTTCAGAGAGGAACACGGACATGAGCGCGGCGGCGGCGGAGGAGGAGGACTCAGACAGCAGCACTCCGGCGCTGGTGCACAGTGATGATGAGAAGCAGCAGAAGAAGAATAACAAGTTCGGGAAGCGGGTGAAGATGAAGAGGAAGTCGTCAGCCGGTGGCGGCGGAGCAAGGAGGACGACGAGATCGGAGTGGGGGATGGCGGAGAGCATAAGGTGGCTGGCGGAGGTGGTGGTGAGGTCGGAGCAGGCGAGGATGGATACGGCGAGGGAGATCGAGAAGATGAGGATGGAAGCGGAGGCGAAGAGAGGAGAGATGGATTTGAAGAGAACTGAGATTGTGGCCAATACCCAGTTGGAGATTGCCAAGCTCTTCGCTGCTGCGGGGCTCGCCAAAGGCGGGCCCGTCGTCGATTCTTCCTTGAGGATTGGCCGCAAGAATTGATCACTTCAGCATACTTGAAGCGGATGACTATGGTTTATGTTATTGAAGTCTTGACAAAAAAACAAAAAACTTAGGGGATAATTCTTATAAGCACGGGTGACAAAAGGGGAGAAATATTGGGTATTTATTAATAATTATAATGAGAAAAGGGGAGAGGCATCATTAATTAGGGCAAGAATGGTGGATTAGGTTTAGGTAGGTGAAACTAAGGAATAACACGTCATGATGATCCGTCTCTCAATTAAGCTTACATGATCCCTATTGTCCATGTGTTTTGTAATGTTGAATGGTTGATTCTATCTTTCCCCATGCTATTGACGGATTACTGCTAGATACTAGTTAATTATTGGTCTAGGTTCTGCAACAGGACGATTCATTAATTGTATGGTAGATTGATTTTTTTTTTTTTATTAAGAGGAGGCAAGAATCAGCCTAAAGGATTTACAGGGAAGGTCAAGATGGCCACTCCTATCACATCCTCCCTGATTAAACGATCCAAGTCCGGTGGAGGCTCATCAAGTTCATATGTATCGAAGAGATAGACGAGACTGTGATTCGAGAGCCAACACGCAACTTTATTCCCTTCGCGATACGTATACACTAGTTGAACCACCCACACTTAAGCAAGAGTCTTGCAAATAGATTCTAAAAGAGTGGCATAAGGATGAGCATGATTTTTGTACGTTTCTCAATCAAATCTAGAGCGAGACGGAAGTCCGATTCTATAATGAGAAACTAACACCCTTTCTTCCAGGCTTGGAGGAGACCATGGTATTTCCCCCAAAGCTCCGCCATCAACGTCGTCCCAATCCCAAGTTTGCTTCAAAAGCCACCTCTCCAATCCTCAAAGTGTTGGAAATAAATAATTATTTCCTTTGGGTAATTTGGTGGGCACCTGTTGTTTAAAGGGAAAGGAATCTTTAAATTGTATTGAGTTTTTATTTGGAGATTGGATGAAGGCTTTTAGGGAGGTGAGTAGGCTGCAGAAAGTGGGAGCTAAAAAACAAGAAGGGTTTTTTTATTTCTTTCTTTTGGTTTACTCTGCTTCTTGGTTGTGCTTCAGATACATCTCCAGACCCTCTATTTATACTAGATTTCAGCCACTCTTCCACCGCCATTACACTTTCTGGTTACTTCCATATTTAATGTGCCAACCTACCTATATCAGTTTAACCGACCTTGATTGTGGCTTACATATTTTCATTATTTAGTTAGTTACAATAATGAAACCAGCTTTTACAATAGCCACCCACGTAAGCTAGTTTCTAGGGTGTTCTTATTTTAAATATTAAACTTTATTTTTAATTTCAACACTCCCCCTTAAAGTTTAATTAGGTGTAACTCCGAGTAGCGTCCTCATCTTGACGAACACATCTTGCTTCAGTGGCTTCGTGAAAATATCAGCAATCTGGTCTTCAGTCTTCACATACTTCAGCGCCACTTCTTTTTGCTCCACACATTCTCTTAAGAAATGATATCTTGTATCAATGTGCTTACTGCGATCATGAAACACCGGATTCTTTGCTAATGCCAGGGCAGACTTATTATCAACATAAATCTCAGTTGACTCTTCTTGTGATATGTTCAACTCCTTCAGCAACTTTCTCAGCCATATTGCATGACACGCACACGATGTCGCAGCAACATACTCAGCTTCACAAGTTGACAGTGTCACGATAGCTTGCTTCTTTGAACTCCATGTGAAAGCTGTATCTCCCAGGAAAAATACAAATCCTGTAGTGCTCTTGCGATCATCCACGTCTCCTGCCCAATCACTATCGCAGTATCCAACCAATTTGAAATTTTCTGACTTGGTATAAAGTAAACCATGATCAATTGTACCTTTGATGTAGCGTAATATCCTCTTGGCAGCATTCCAGTGTGACATAGTTGGTGCCTCCATGTATCTGCTGACTAATCCAACTGCATAGAGGATATCTGGTCTGGTACAAGTCAGATATCTCAGACTTCCCACAAGGCTTCTAAACTCCGTTGAGTTTACCTTCTCTCCTTTATCATCCTTGGATAACTTTAATCCGCACTCTGCTGGTGTGCTCACAGGATTACAGTTCTCCATCTTAAACTTCTTCAGGACCTCTTTGGCAAAACCACTTTGTGAGATGAAAATTCCTTCCTCCTTTTGAGTTACTTCAATTCCAAGATAGTATGACATTAGTCCGATGTCTGTCATCTCGAACTCACGAACCATCGTCTTCTTGAACTCTTCAAACATTTGAGGATCGTTGCCTGTGAAGACAAGATCATCTACATATAGGCAAACCATCAAGATTGCTCCCCCTTGCACCTTGCAGTATAGTGCATGCTCATGTGGGCATTTGCTGAACCCATTCTGCCGAAAATACTTGTCAATCCTGCTATTCCAAGCTCTAGGTGCTTGTTTCAGACCATACAGTGCTTTCTTCAGCTTCAACACCTTATCTTCTTGGCCTTCAACGACATATCCAGGGGGTTGCTCAATATAGATATCTTCCTCGAGATATCCATTGAGAAAAGCTGACTTCACATCCATCTGATGTATCTTCCATCCATTTTGAGCAGCGAGAGATATCACCATCCTGATACTCTCCATTCTCGCCACGGGAGCAAAGACTTCATTGTAGTCAATGCCTGGTCTCTGACTATATCCTTTTGCCACCAATCTTGCTTTGTGTCTGACGACTTCTCCTTTAGCATTTTTCTTGGCCTTGAATACCCACTTCACACCGATGGGCTTCTGGTTCTCAGGTAGCGACACAAGCTCCCAAGTCTTGTTCTTCACAATTGCTCCAATTTCTTCATCCATGGCTCTTCTCCATTTTTCATCTTTCATGGCTTCTTCAGCATCCACTGGTTCATCATCAATGAAATGACAGTATAGTGTCAATTCATCACCTTCAATGACTGTAGTTTCCTCATATAGATCTTCAAGACGTCTGTATTTTTGTGGCCTCTCTTTCGGACTTTCACTTGATTCTCCTTCTGGGCTGGCAGGTTCTCTGTGACTGGGTGGACTTGTCACAGGTGTATCACCATCTGGTTCATCGTCACTTTCATCCATAGTGAATGGATAAAAAGTGTAATTCTTCTTTGCTTCAGCAGTCCAATCCCATGTTGCTTCTTCATCAACTACCACGTCTCTGCTGATGATCAGCTTCTCTTCCACGGGATCAAACATTTTGTAACCTTTTGAGTGTTCTGAGTATCCCAGGAATATGTACTTCTTGCTTTTGTCATCCAACTTCTTCCTTTCTTGATCCGGTACGTGCACATATCCAACACTTCCGAAGACTCGGAGGTGAGAGATTGTGGGTTTCCTTCCGCTCCATGCTTCTTGGGGTGTTTGATTCCAAACACTCTTTGTTGGTGACCTGTTCAGCAGGTAGATTGCACAATCAACAGCTTCAGCCCATAGCTCCTTCGGCAGGTTTTTGCTCTTCATCATACTTCTCGCCATGTTGAGTACAGTTCTGTTCTTCCTCTCAACAACTCCATTCTGCTGTGGCGATCTTGGCACTGTGAGAAACCTGCGAATTCCTTGATATTCACAGAACCTTCTGAATTTCTTGAGCATAAATTCTCCACCTCTATCTGATCTCATGGCTTTGATGTAGCGGCCACTTTCATTCTCCACCATTATCTTGAACTTCTTGAAAGCTTCAAATGTGTCTGACTTCTGCTTCAAGAAGTATACCCATGTCTTTCTACTGTAGTCGTCAATGAACAATAGGAAGTATTTGTTCTTCCCGAACGATGTTGGGGTGATTGGTCCACAGAGATCTGCATGGACGAGCTCAAGTGGTGCTTTAGCTCGTGACAGGGATTCCTTCGGGAAACTTGCCCTGAATTGTTTCCCAACTAAGCATCCTTCACACAACTGGTCAGGATGATTGATCACGGGCAGACCATGCACCATCTTCTTCTGACCGAGTAACTTCAGGCCTCCAAAATTTAGATGGCCATACCTTAGATGCCATAGCCATGTATTATCCTTCACACACGCTTTCAAGCACTTCGCCATTTCTGTCTGAATGTTCAGCGTGAACATTCTGTTTCTCGACATTGGGACTCTGGCCAACAACTGCTTCTTCTCGTTTAACAGCTCCAATTGACGATTCACCATATGGACTTCATAATTCTTCTCCATCAGCTGACCCAAACTCAGGATGTTACTAGTCATGTTTGGGACATAGTACACATCACTGATAGATTGATGTGAGCCATTCTTGAGCCGGATGAGTATAGTTCCTCTGCCTTTGATAGGAACTTTCGAGGAGTCTCCAAATACGACATTTCCTTTCACCGATTCATCCATATCCACGAACATGTTTCTTTTACCGCACATGTGGTTGCTTGCTGCATTATCCAGATACCACATGTTGTCTCTCGGTTTTTCATCTCCTTGATGTGACAGCATCAATGTGCCTTTGACTTCTTCTTCTCGCACATTGTTCGCTGTCTCCTCCACTTCTTTAGGCGGACTCCAACATTTCGATGCATAATGCCCGTACTTCGAGCAATTATAGCATTGGACGTTGGATTTATCACGACCTTCATTTGATCTCCAATTTCCTCTTCCACGTCCACGACCTCTGCCTCTGGTGGACGTTTCATAATTGTTCGTGGTGAAATTTCCTCCATCTCTGCTTTGATATGCTCCTCGAGCTCTTCCTCTTCCTCTGCCTCTGTAGCTGCCTCTGACTCGACCTCTGTACTGACCTCCTCCTCGTGCGCCTTCTTTCTCCTCAGTGGTAGCTTTTGTAGCTAACACTTGTTCTGACGATTCTTCATTTCTTTTATTTAGTCTTTCTTCACGTGCTTGCAATGAGCCGATGACTTCATCCACCGTCATTTTTGACACATCCTTAGCTTCCTCCATGGCCACTACCACATAATCAAACTTCGGTAATAATGACCGTAGAATTTTCTCCACCACTTTGGTTTCTTCAATTTTCTCCCCATACTGCTTCAGTTTGCTGGCGATAGACTTCACACGGGCGGTGTAATCTGAAACAGATTCACCTTCCTTCATTTTAATTGCTTCAAAATCTCCTCTGAGTGTCTGAAGTCGAACCTTCTTTACTGGTTCCACGCCTTGCATTTCCTTTTGCAGAATCTCCCATGCTTCCTTTGCTGTGGTAGCATCTGCTATTTGATCGAACATCGATTCATCAAGACACTGATGAATGAGAGTGAGTGCTTTTTGATCACTCTTTTTATTTTTTCTCAATACCTCCTTTTCAGTAGGAGATAACCGAGAATCCTCCACGGGAATCTCATAGCCTTTTTCGACAATATCCCAAGCATCTTGGGATCCAAGCAAGGCTTTCATACGAATGCACCAATTTTTATAATTGGTTTTAGTAAGGTGGGGGAATTGAATGGGGAAAGTGGATTTTTCGGCCATGGGACAATCGTGATAACAAAAACACGAGAAATTCTTTTCTGATGTGGAAGTTCAGACTACGCTGCAACCACAGAGCATACTTAAGAATA